GGAAATTTCGTCATTTCCGAGAAATGACGAAAATTCCAGGAATTCTCGAGAACTGAAATTTTGGAAGACAATTCGGCCGAAAATCGACTTTCTAATAGGCGAACATGATATGACAGGAGGTCGCTTCCTGGAAGTGACTCGATTCTCGGAAATTTGGTCATTTCCGAGAAATGACGAAAATTCCAGGAATTCTCGAGGACGCTAGCACCGAACGAGTATATTCGCGCGATTTTCGAAATATTTCCTTAATTTTCGTAGTTTTCGCTCGAATTTCCGGTTTTTTTCGATTTTTTCGATGAAAACGCATTCCTGGGGGTTTCTGGCATTAGTTTATTCAATTTTTCAATGGAATATTGTTTAAACAATGGGTTTATTGCAAAAACAAATGGATTTGGAGTGTAAGGGAGCAATAAATAGACTGTAAAATGCTGTAAAACAATATTGGTATATTGTAACCTTTTGTAATATACATTTTATACAATAATTTTACAATAAATAATTGGTTTTTTCATAAACAATGGGTTTTTTTGCAAAGGATATGAATTTGGTGCGAAAGAGAGAAGTAAATAGACTGTAAAATGCTGTAATGCAACTCTGGTATATTGTAATCTTTTGTAAAATACATTTTGTACACTTATCTTACAATAAATAATTGATTTGTTCTTAAATAATTGCATTTCTTGATGTTTCCAGACATTGAAGTCCTTTCCTTGATTTCTGTGGTGGCCTCAAAGTTCCATCTGTAATGATACAAAAAAAACATCAATTTTTCACTTTCCAATAAAAGTTATAAACAATTTTTTAACCAATCTACCGCATGCAATTGTGAATTCAATGCGAAATTAGCAAATTGAGGTATTTCGTTAAGTTAAATCATGTAACAAATTTATTTGATACTTCTAATAATTATAAACAACCATCTAAATTGTTATTTGACAAGAAATACTAGTTATTCTATAATTAAAATACTTGAAAATAAACCAGAAGCTTTATTGTACTAAAGACATACTGGTAATGTTAAAGCAATTAAAAGTTTATTATAAATATTAATTTTGATCTGCTTAGTACATGCAATTATGCTGTAATTTATAATAAATAACATTGAAAGCGAAAAATTCAAAGGATTCTCAGTATATTTTCCTAAAAATATGAGAACATAATTTTTCATTAGTGGACGATTCATCCCATGTGTGTATTCTACTACTTTCGAGCATCGTTAAAGTTCTACACACACAATCCAATAAACGTACTTATGTAAATATCTTAAATACGGATTTAGCAAAAGAGGATCTTTTACATCTGCCGACTTTACCATTTGTAATGGTTGGATTATACATATATAATTCTTAAACTCACCGCTTTATATTGTAGAGGGCATTACAAAACCTCTGATCTTTTACACGATCGGTATTTCAGAACATTGGACACAAAAATACATTAGGTACAAAGTCTACCTTGTACCTCGTCTGTGGTTTGTGCGTCCAAACTTTTACCTATATACAGTGATTCTCAATGTTACAGCACGATCATCGACTTTAATCAATGGAAAACAAAAGCATCGGAAGAAATGAAAAAAAGGAAAAGAAAGAAGAATGTGAAGTGTAAAACATACGTCGTAGATTTGAAGCAGCGATGCAAAAAGTTCATCGATAAGGGGAATTGCATGCGACCGGCTGCGTTTGTCGTTCAGTGTTATAAAGAATGACGATTCAGGTCTGAGGTTTGCGCCTGGTCACCGTGGCGACGGTTGCTCGATCCTGTCATCTTCGGCTTTTCTTTAGTTTACGTTACCTGCACCTCTGTTCATGTTGTTAAAGTGATTTCTTCTTTATTCATAAATTTGTGATGGCACAGGAGCTTACCTGTTTACGGTATTTTCTCATCGGCGGTGCTGTTGTCATTGGTGTAAGTGGATATTTGTTGCTTCAACTACAAACAATACTATTGTTTACGCGTGATAATGTATGATTTAAGATTGCAGTCAAAAGTATTTGTTTTATTTAAGTCATCTAATTTGAACGAAATCTTAAGATCTTTTTCTGTTCGATTTTTCGATGTTCTATTATTAAGAATTCAGCAGTCAGCGACCAGTTTCCGATTTGTCGCGGAATTGGACACCCGCCAACTTAAAATGTTGTTAGTGTGTTATTCTTTTGATTATCTTAATATTCCGATTTTTGAATTAACCCTTTCTGTTAAATTATTATTTTCAATCACACTGCAGCAATTTGTAACATTAATATATTTACATTTATTTGTCATATTCTTTATTTATTAGTATTACGTACATTTTTATTAGAAGCATTAGGGTTTACGCAATTTTTGATACAGAATTAGATGAATTTCTTTAATATTTCACAGATAAGCTTTTTATTATTCGTCTTTCATATCAGCATTACGTATACACTGGAAAATATTTGTGTTATCGATAACATACATAGATACACGAGTGCAAATTCGTGCAATGCAAAATTTACATAACTTACACATTATTCAAAAAAGAGGTTAACGCTTTGTTTTAGTTAAGAAAGAATAATTTATAATATACGTATACAATGATAAACACCACTTTTTTTTTTAAATTTATTTTTAATACGATTTCCAACTTATAAATAGAATATAAATAAAGTGTAACCAATAATTGTCAAGAATTGAAATTGAAATGTGACCGGTAGCGTTAAAGTGTGTCAAGAACGAGATATTCGTGGAAAACGAAGTGTTATTAGAAATATCTGCTGCCATCGATAAGATAAATAATATTATTCAATTGTTAACATTAATACTAAATGAAAATTTGTTATTAGAACAGAACGTTAATAACGCAACAAAAAGTAGAAATCTTTGGCCTTCCTATCTCTTTTAAAATCTTTAACTTTACTTTGTACTACGATTAGATACAACTAATCATCGCTTATCACAAATGTTAGCGCATAGTATCACCGTGGGTGGATCACATGGTATCCATAAATGATATAGAATATTCTTTTTATTTTTCTTAGGTCTGCGGTGTCATAGAGAGCATTTGCGCCGGCTATTTTATATATCAATTGTATGAATATTCACCCCTCACCCCTAACAATGTATGTGGTTCAGCGATAATACTGTTGGCGATGGGTCTGATAACGTCTGTGATAGCTTGGTGCGCTTGGCAATTTCTAGATTTTACATATAGGGGCCAAGTTACAATTGTAAGAAATCTTAAATTATTATTTTTCCCATTTATCAATTAATGTTTTTGATCGATTTTTCATATTAATAATAAAATAATCTTTTCTAAAATTTGTACGTATCTTGTGATCGTTGTACCAATTTGCGATTTTCTTCTTTATCCATTCCCGATAAAACAACACGTATTTTTTTATTTAGTTTTCCGTAGTACTAATAATTGTTACAATTCTCAACACGGGTGCTGGAATTTGGGCTCTTGTTAGACATGAACAAGTGGATCTATTACCGATTACGCATCTCGAACGGGTCTTCGAATCTGCTGTATCGAACGATAAGCCTCTTTGGGATCGTATGCATTCGAAGGTATATATATTCAGTTGAACAGTACGTTAGGTTGATGGTCAAATGTTTTCAAGCTGTATAGTCGTTTCTTCCTTAGTTACACTGTTGTGGGATAAACGGACCTGCTGATTATCGCAGCCAAGATGCAGTGCCCTGGTCTTGTTGCAATACGACGTTATTTACAAATTCTAGCGATAATAAGGGCGTGTGTACTACAATGTACGCACACGGTTGCCAGCATGTAGTAATAAATCGAACTAGATCGATTCTTCTTTATGTTTTTCTGCTTGCATTGTGCACAGTAATATTACAGGTAATGAAATTTATTAATCGATCAGTTATTGTAAATGCAATCGAAACTAATTACAGGGCTATTTTTAGGTTTGCTACATAACGTGTATGTCTTGTTATGTAAGAGCTTGCCGAGAAAGGATGGAAAGAAGAAAGGAAATGATAATCACTGCGCAATCACTCGCGCGAGCATCGAAAGATCTAGGAGCAAACGATACTCTTCTTAGTCAACAGACAAAGTATTCCAAAGCAACGACAAATGTTTGACAATTGAATTGTTATTACGTTCACAAGGAATAATTACATTTTGATACTTATTGTTCATACCAGTGTCGCATTGTACACCTTTATTATGACTACTGACATTTTGTAAAAGTACTTTACTTTGGTACCTCGTTTTGGTGCTGTTCTTTGACTTTGAAATATTATTACACTGAACATACCAAATGCATACACTTCCTATATTACTATTAAATATCAACGAATTATTGTGAATAATACATAAAATAATGTCATGCCAAAGATATTGTGTCATATTAGAAAATGTACCAAATAAAGATTTTCCTAGTCCAAAGACACTTTACAAATGAAAATATGCATCTTTTATACATAATTGCAGTGTGTTCGTTAATATAAGACAATGTACTTTTTCTAATGTCTACAAATTTGTAAAATTTTCTCCTGACCGAAATATATATTTGTAATATGATTGAAAGTGTAATTGAATCCAATATTTATATATATAATACACGCAAAATTAAACGATAAATTCAACGATCGTATTATGAAAACCGTTACAATCGGAAGTTTCTTAAACAATGTTGATCAATTGAAGCATTCGCGAATAAAATAACTACGTATCGTAAAACAATGTAATATCGAACAATTACTTATTCCACGAATCCGATATTTCGTATAAATAATTTTCCAACAATACACGTACTACCGATATGAGCGTGAAATTTACAGAGTGAAGCTTACTTAATCTTTCCAGATAAAGACGGGTGCGGCGCTATTGCGCTTCGGCTGGAACTTCTTTCGGCTGTCGTATCAGTTGAACACGAGACGTCGGTGTTGCAGTTGTTGGTTGTGCCACGTCTAACCTAACCTGTTGAGCGTATCTTTGCGCGTCCTCTGAACGACTTCTGATATTTTAACGGACTTTACCACTTTGAAATAAAAGTTACTGAACAGAAAAAAGCCACCAAAATGAGTTGCGGGATGGGAATGATAAAATACCTACTCTTCATATTCAATTTCATCTTCGCGGTAAGTATTCGTTAATATATGTTACTCAAATTTTTTATATCAATTGTAAAAAGACGCAGTACTTCATTTAAGTATAGAAGTGGAATGCATTACTATTTAACATTAAGTAACCAGTAAGTAACATAAATTGAAGATAAAATGAATTACTATAACATACTGAAAATACTAAAATATTAAAATGAATGCTACACCTTTGAGAATAATGCTTGGGCGTGTCAAAGTATTATTGTTTCCGTATCATTATCCAGACTAACTGGCACTGCCTGTCGTTCCATCGTACGGTTTTTACGTCGTGCTTAGTTTGCACCGAGCAATCAACGCGTGTGCTATTTTTATTTCTCTTTTGATTCTACTCGACAATTCGTTTAAACGATTATTTTATTATTATCTATTTTTTTTTATTATGTTTCGTTAATATTGTCTGAAATTTTTGGTTTAGTTGATCCTAATAATTATAAGATTCCAATGATTATTCCGTGTTAATTTTTATCCAACTATTTTAATTATAATACTTCTACAAATACAATTCATTATAAGAAGATTCTTTGAAAGAACTGTAACTTTCCTTTCAGTTTCATAATCTTGCTTCATACGGTTCTTCACCCGTGATTAATGTGTTATGGGAATTATACGATAAATTTGACGCCTTCTTCATCAACGTCATTCTACTAATCATACGTAAAATTCAATGTCTTGTTAATTTCAATTATTCCACAATAGTTGAAGTGCAGAGTCGATAACGAAGGAAGGGTTACAAGTATTGCATGCTCGTTTAAACATACGCCTATCTAGGTGACAGGTAAATGAGTCATATGATAACAAGTCACATGAAAACCATTGTGAGTGTAAAACTTGAATGCTTTAACGAAATGTCATCGCTGGATCCTGTTTCGTAAAATTATTTATTTTAAAAATATTTTAACGATATAAATGAACTCCTTTCGTTGAATTTTTTACATGCACAAATACTGTTAATATTGACTTACAATATGTTACACACTTTCAACGTTGGCGATATAACATTGACGTAAAACCTGATAAGGTAAGCAAGTAGGCGTAGTTTCCTACTACGTGAATGGTCACAGCAAAGTAGGCAAATGTATATTCTTTTCGACTATTAAATAATCGATATAACGATTCTTTTTGTATCAGAGCTGTAGTGTTCTCGATTCCATAGAGTTCACCTAGATTCAATAACTCGAGTAGAATATCTATACATAAATCTCGTTAATTTTCTCTATGGTTTTGAACCTTCTTAAAGAAACTTTTCCTTAGATGGCAACGAAAAATTTCAAGAAAGGAAACTGTTATAATACGCGCTTCTCTGTGCTTCAATAGTGCAGAAAGCGGTTCCCCATGCTAAACTATCAATAGAGATGGTACAACGGCTTTACAATTGTAAACCTACTCTTCTCAACCTTTGTCGTTTTTTCCCTGTCGAGGTTCCACGATTTTATGTTGTAAGACCTTATGGCCAGTTTCTTGTTAGTACATTTTCCTTAAGAAATACATAAGTTTGTACACTCTGGCAAGTGACGTAGATGTAAGCTATTGGTTGCCAGGGAATTCCAAACGATGATGAGCGTAATAGATGCAGGAGAGAGAGGAAGACGGTGGAGACTGTTCCCCCTGTTTCAGCCAACGCGTTAACCATCGTGTTTTTAGTTTCCCTTCTACACTCATCTCGTACGACTTGGTGTGCGTGCCGCCACGATCGTTCTGTGACGTTTTCGTGTATTCTCTTCTCTTTACAACGCGTTCCACTTATCTGACACAACTGGATCGATACAGAGAAGAAAAACAATCGAGATGAATTGCGTCTCGGACTGTATCAAGTGGTTGCTCTTTGTTTTCAATTTTCTCTTTTCTGTAAGTAATCCATTCACCCTTCGTTTATTAGTAAAATGGTAAAAAGAAAAAGGATTTACCAATACGATTGCTGGACCCCGAGACTCGCATCTGTAAACTGTTTTACCAACGGAAAATCTGTGGGTTGTTAAAATTCTCTTCGTTCTTAAACTCGATATTTCAAAAGAAACAAATTACAGTAGAAGGAACATTTAAGAATACTCTTGAGGGAACTGCTGGTTGCTTTGTCGTTGGATTTTTTTATGGTCATCGACAATAGATTTAACCGTTGACTGGTATTGTGTTTCCAAGACCGACCGAGAGAAAAAACAGGAATCTGCGATGGGGTAATAGAAAAGAGAAAACATGTTCTAACGTGTAGACGTGACAGTGACGTAGCTAGAGTATTGGTCCAGAGCAGTTTGTATGCTTTGCAATGAAATGCGTCATTTCTTCAGGGTCGGAGGGAAACTGGATATAATTCTGTTCTAAATTTCTCGTTTTACTCAAGGTTCGGTTGTGCCGTGGTATCCTTGACGTTTTATGGTCCGTGAAGAACGTGCCCTTACTTTTTACACCAGAATACATATGAAATTTCAGTAACCCAAGTTCAGTAACAAAGCTCGTTTTCCTCTTAATGCGCATCTTATTGTGAATCACGCGAAATTTAAAACTCTTATATTATAGAGATAAAAAAAATTAAAGCGTCACTTAAAGACGATGAAATTTCATTGCTTAGAAAATGATGTGCAATATGTTTTAAGAAAAGCCTTATTGATAAACCATGACTAATAACTAAAACAACGATAATCCACGTAAAGAAGAATCATTGCAAAGTAAAACGTTCTGCGTACATTTCATCTTATCTTTGCATTAGCTGAGGGTATCGCGTCGAGTTTCCTGCATTGTGAGTCACGTCATTAAGAATTCACGCGATCTTGAAGTCTTGCTCGTGTGAAATTAAAACTCCTACCACAATTGAATTGTGGTCATACGTCATGCGGTGTTTACACGTGATAACTAGCAATCTCGTAATTTATACAATACGCGTGTCCCGTTTCAATATTTCGATGTAGTTTTTCAATGTGTTTATTCCATTTTATCTTAATGGAATGATTTGTTATTTGATATGCAATAGAAGTAATGCTAATATTAGCGTAAGTATTGGAAATTAATCCTATCTGTAAAGATATTAATATTTCTAATGCTAGCATTGTATATCTTTACAGAAATAAAGATAGATTCCACCTTGCGTGATGATAAACGTTAAAAAATTGCGTTCTTTTACGTAACCCGACAGTTTGCGAGCGTACCATGAACACTAATTACATCACAAACGGAATAATACAATCGTTGGTACGTTTTCTTTTCTTTACCTCCAGCTACTGTAAAGGAACACAATGTTGTCGACAAATGCAACGTTGAACGAAGTAAGATTGCGTTCTCCGTCGTATAGAATACGACGAAATTCTGGCACGAGACGCTATAATTGGCGCGTAGATAGAATACCGAAGCGACCAAGGTCGTATCTAAAAATCTGAATGGGACCTGTAGCATTCGCAGTGCACCAGATGACGTATTTTGACACTTTTAAATTCGATCCTTTTTTTTAAATTATTTCTTCAAAAATGATCTTTTTAATCGGCTATGGCTAAAACTGTCCCATTAAAATTCGTGGTAAAATTCAAACATCAATATTTAAATTTTAAAATTTGAATTTTATATGAAAAAGAAAATGAATCGATCGAATGTATCCCTCGTAAAATATTTTACATACCTTCGTGTAAAATACATATTTTAATCATTGATATGTATATTTCCATTGCACGCGATAAAAAAAGGATCGACTACGCTGATTGTTGGACTGCAATAGCACCAGTTCTCTGATCTTTTGTACGTCGATCGTTCATGGTATCCAACTAATGCATTCAGAATACTTTTGATGGGTTCTTTCTTTCTAAGCATAGAGTTAACACAATGTACAGTAATGAAGGCTGACTGACATGTTGATCACCGCGTGCAGAGCATATTGAAGGGAAACTCGATTATAATTCTACACACCATGAAATGATATATTAAGACGTGAGTTATCCACAACGTTTCATTTATTTTCTCAATTAACTGACTGTGGTAACACAAGATCGATAATTCTTATTAAAAAAAAAGGCAATGAAAAGAATCGTTAAATTATTCTAACATCACATTCGGTGAAGCTTATTACAAAAGATAAAAAGCTATTTTCTATAATTTTTCCGAGTATACAAGTCGCGCGTAAATCGATTCCGAGTACTCGATAAAGATTCGTATCGTCGTAACAAGAAGGAAGTGTATACACGATTTTACTCTCTCTCTTTCTCTGTAAGAACAGAGATAAGAAAATATCGATTTGATATTGTATAACAGTGCGAACCGTTTACTTTTAATTATCTTCTACTTTTTGCCGAGTTACTTATCGCGTTTCTCAGAAGCAATTTTCGATTGATATTTGCGTGTGGTTTCATTGTGACGTTCGAGTTTTCATGGAAACAGTTGAGTCATCCGTGTTCGTCTCATTTCGGTTATTGCGCACAGATTCGAGCAACGTGTATGCGCATGCGCGCCTGTGAGATTTGTACAGGGAAAAAGGAAGCTTTGTAAGTGACGACGATCTTTTGTGCCGCAGAGAAACACCTTTCAAGGCTTCGGTGTTTTTCAAGTCGTGAACAGGTTTTGTTGCCTTTTAGCAAATAATGGGAGAGGGCAATTTTTCAGAGATTCGAATTATTTTGGTTACTTAGAAGTTCTATAATTTAAGATGAAAATAATTTTCTTTTGCACCTGCGACTTGTAATTACAACTGTGGGGTCCAAGTCGAATATCTTTGATTTTGAGACATTTTGATTCTCATGTTTGTACGTATTTAAAGAAATATTCCGATTTTTCACGCTACGAAAATCGACGACTTTCACAATGATCGATTGGTCGATGTTAAGTGTTTGAAACATCGATAAATGATAGGTTATTGAGATGAAGAGAGGGAGAGAGGTTGCTGTTAGCTAATGATACGATTTCATGACGTTAATTAATAGCAGTGACACGTCAATAAACAGTGCTTGCTGAAACTATTATTACGGCATAGTAGCTTCAACTACGGACATAATTTTAGCCTCCGTCTTGATTTGTGTTCTTAATAGATGAATCATTACTAGCGCTAGGTTTTTTCTTTCGATTCACAATATATAAGTGTATCGATAAATATATCGTTGTATCTAGAATGATAATTTTTCGTATCGGAAAATAATCATTCAATAATTCACATCATACTTCTATCTTATCTCTAAGCCTTTATTTATGTTACTAATAACAGTCTTCGGAATCGAAAAGATTTCGATTGGTAGGTGCTACCGCATTAACGCTTATCAATTTCTCGGAAAACATTTTATCAATGGAAACACATGTGATTATGTATTTTAAAACTTCTGGCTACATTTCTAAGTATTAGAGATCAATCTGCGATTTCCTTGAAGTACTTAGAATTATACCTAACCTCAGTTTCCACGATTTTTGTTTAAACATTTTTCGAATCGATTTTTTGAATCGAACCTAACCTAAAATCTTCATTGGAATAGTTCAGAAGGTTAAAGTACTCGTACTTTCATTACAAAAGGAAATTCCTGATTGGATGGATACTTATACAAAGTCAATTAGTCAGAAATTTATTTCCATCAGCAGACTTCTGCAATATCAGAGGAAGTCTGCGCCGAGGTGTTGTACGTTGAATAGATATGATGTCATCCAGTTTAGAGAATCAAATACACATCCTCCGCGTACGATTGCGTTATAGTAGTTGCTAACCGGAGAATGCCTCCTAGTACAACTTGATATAATTTTTCAAATTCTTCAGACGTTATATCTTGTTCGTTAGAATAAATCTCACATAGAGAAACTTTTTGAACAATGTAAAAATTAAAGGAGGTACACAAATTTGAGTATTATATAAATTCATCTTATTCACTTCAAAATGATATGAAAAACGAGTCTTCTCCAGTCAATGAATATTTATCTTGACTGTTCACTGTGTCTTAAATTTCACGAATTGTAAATCACCGGTCCTAACAAGTATAAATAAATTGCAAATAAGCGAACTCTTTTATCGTCGAAAGTAACGGTAAAAAAGTGACAGTGTAAATCGTACAAGTCGCTGAATAATTCATTTGATCCTGCATAACATGTCGTTGCTCTTTTCCTGTTGGGATTTACCCGGATGAATGGCATCATACATAAATATTAGTCAACAACCATGAATTTTTATGCATTAGTCCACTTTAACTGTATTTGTAAATTATTAATAAAGAAAAAGAAACTTCTGAAAGATTCCAGAGGAATTATTATGTGTGCAGAAAAAAAATTTGTACAAAGAAACGAGCTATAACACGATCTAGAGACCCTACAAATCGTGTGCAACTATAGCAGACGAGTGAAAGACTGATTTCTATTAATATACGTATGCAGGGTCGTGCTCTAAAACCGAATGGCAAACACTTGTACGTGACAAGCTCTCAGTATCAATCATAATAGTTTCGAACGTATATGAGACACGAAGGAAATATACTCCCATAAAGTGTCAAGGATACGGCGTACATATTGGTATACAATTGGTTTTACTTAACCTTCTTGCTCCCAGCGTAAGACGCTCGAGTATTGTTAGAGATATTATACCACAGAAGAAACAGGAAGATGTAAATGTTTTATTTAAAACATTTCCAGCTACCACATTTTTTCAGATATTTACGAGTGCAACGTCATTTCCTAATTGCCCCAAATTATTCAAATTTCCCGCCAGTGGAGCGTGCACCACACGTTGGTATTCTCAACTTGAGAAACACTGCTTGAGAAGCCGTCTTTTATTCTTCCTCCCGCTCATTCTCTCTTTCTCTAGTTTTCTATCTTTTTCTCTCTGCTCGAACATTCTCGAAACGCATTCGGTTACGTCCGCCTAAATCCTTGGGTGGTCCAACTTGGTCCAAACACTTTCCATTCGCATCTCTATCGCTCCAGCTCCAAGTATTCTTCGTTCACGCAGCTGTCTAATCTCTCTGGTCTAAATACTCTCTTAAATATTTATAATTATATAATCTACAATTGTTAGATGTCATTTGAATAGATATTAAAATTCGTTGTAATTTTTTTGGACGCTTTAAGAAATTGTTCTTAATGGATCTAATGAAATCGTCGTGAATAATATTCAGGGACAATCTTTCCTTCGAGTGTTTTTTCGCGTCTCTTTATCTCTTAGATAATTTTCTAGGTTTAATCAGTGCGCTTTGTAATGTTTTCGGTTAATAATCTTATCGCTATTACCGTTTATAATTCTTTAGTATTTACCAATCAACTGCAGTGATTTCATTACTGTTATATGTGTTGTAACTACTAATAGAATCTTTTTAAAAAGGTTTAACGTTATCACTAATTGAATTACATTTCGTTATTCTATGATTAGAACAATCGCTTTTAGATAATAGTTTTCCACTTAAATTTGGATATCTACTTTTAGAGAAATTTCTCTCTCTTCTACGGCAGTAAAACTTTTCTAAAAATGTTTCGATAAAAACGTTTATCTGATTAAGGGTAAATACCAATCAAGATATATATGCGCCGACATAATTGTAGGAACGATGGCATTCAGGTTGGTGTTATAATAACGCTTTCATGCTTTACGTGGTTGATTTCTTGTATGTTAGTTGAAACATTCAAGTATCAAGTACATAGATAGCATCGCTATTGATCTCGTTTTATCGATGACTCACTAGGAATTAACAAGAAATTTTTTCGATGTAGATAACGTGACTAGTTGTTAAATAAACTGAAGAAAAAAAATTAAATTTTTATAACATACTTGATTATTCATTCGAGTTCTCATAAATATGTATTAAATTTTCTAAAATAATCAAATAGAAAAGTTGTTCGATATATTCTCCGCGCAAGTTAGACAACGTAGCCCCGCATCGCATAGAAAAGGTCGTCTTTGCAACGAAGTCCAACTGGTCTTTGTTCAAAAGTCCGTTGAACCACCACCTGGTTCGCACCTGGAACATGACCTAAATTTACCTACGGACATTTGCAATCGCGATGGGCCGTCTACAGAATGTTCAATGCCAACCTGTTAATATTGTGCAATGTGATGTAATAAATGCCTGCTGTCGTCGATCTAGCAAGTTTGTTGTCATAACCTTCATTTGTAAATCTGTATAGAATATAAACGATTTAACATTCTAAAAATTATTCGATGAACATTCTTTGAATATTCTTGAAACCATTAATATATCTTTCATATATTTTTTTATATGAAGATACGTTTGTATTAATCAGCTTTGAGTATATGTTCGACTTTGAAATTGTTGCAGCTATGTGGGTTAGCTATCCTAGGAGTCGGTGTCGCTGCACACCTGCGGCTGTCAAGTGTAACCGACCACCTTGACACGGGTGTTATGTTCCCGTCGATAACGTTGATTGTCGTCGGTAGTATAATATTCGTGGTATCATTTTTCGGATGCTGCGGTGCCATCCGGGAGAGTCATTGCATGACAATTACTGTAAGTAATGATTCAATAAATTAATTATATTGACCGGTTTAAAATCATATTAATATCTGATTACAAAGTAATTAATTTATTGTGTTTGTTCTTAGTTCGCATCGTTCCTTCTGTTCATCTTACTGATACAAGTGGCAGTTGCGGTGTATGCGTTCATGGTCGTTAAAAACAGCGAGAACCACGGCGCTATTGTAGAATCTTACAAGAAAATGTTCGACACTTATTCGACGAGTCAGGAAAACCGAGAAATTATTGATGTCGTTCAAGCCAGCGTGAGTATTTGGCTGATTTGGTATTCAATGAATTAATGTTGGCCGAGAATAATTATACGAAAGAAAAACTTCACTGCTTGTACGATCTAAATTTGTAAAAAATCATTACAGCATATTAACTTTTATAAATCATTTTTGACAGTTGCAATGCTGTGGTATCGATAGTGCACAAGATTATATTAGCCGTAATATCGCTGTACCCTGGAGTTGTTGTGGCGAACAACAAGATAAAACTTGTTCTGTGGAGAACTCATACAATTCCGGCTGCGTAAAATCATTGAAAGCTGCACTTTCGACCGCAGGAAATATACTTGGTGGCGTTGCTATTGGTATTGCTGGTGTTGAGGTAAGTGTTTTTAATTTACTAATTTGAATCGATTTTCCCAACCCTTTCAATTTTTTTTTTTAAGTACATTAACATATGAAAACTATATGTACGATGCGTATTTTATGTTTCAGTTGATTGGCATAATTTTTGCACTTTGCTTGGCGAATTCTATAAGGAACGCTCAACGCAGAGGTTACAGAGTGTGAAAATTTAATAAACGTCGAACGAAAAATATACGTTAAAAGTAAAAAGTAATATAATTAATGACACTACCATTAATAATTTGATTATAAGACGCGTTAAAAGTTGCAGTTATTGTACTGAATCAAATTTAAACAGTTCTATAAATGGTAGAGGACCAAACGAAAGAAGAATGAAGTGCCCTTTCAGTTTAACTTGGAACATTATTTTCATTTAAATCTTCACGTGTAATATCGAATATGTAAACGTATTATTTAATATATTTTTTATTTTGATATGTTTCTATGAAATTGGATGTACTGTTTATTATTTACGATAAACAAAACAATAGTAGTAATCACCGATAATAAGTATAATAATAATCGGTGCAAAACGTTTCTAAAGGTTCGGTATGTTTCTCGTGCCTACTATTGTTATATAATTTTTGTTTATGTTCATGTATAATTTACCAATTCGATGCAAATTATTAAGAAAGAACTACTGAACTAAAGAACTAATGACCCGGTGTAATAAATGATTTTTAAATGTAATTTGTAATTCATAAAATTGAAGGTTATATACCTCGATATCGAAAAATTACATCACAGTGCATTACAACATACTACGTAGTGCTGCGAGCATTATATAGAAAGGTATGTTTATAATATTTTGAAAAGTATTACACATTATTTACAGATGCTTTTATAAAATATAATTCATATTGTTATTTGTACAGCACACGTTCACTATATTCTTCAGAAAGTACTGTCGAATTATATATTTTTTCTTGTAATAAAATCTATTTTACCCAACTTTTCAAGATTATTAATTTACTGTTTTTCCATTTACTAAAAAAAAAGTTTAATGATATTTAGTGTTTTGCTTTTTATAAAACTCGTTATATTTCCAGATTTTACCTCACTATTCCAGTAATTCTGTGTATATTTATTACAGCTATTTACATGCAAATAAAACATTGATATAATTAAATTATTTTAATTATTTATTGAAATACTTGTCTATCTTAATGAACAATACGATCAAATGGACTGATAATATATATGTACATATATATTATCAATAATGTTTTTATAGGAACGGTTTTCTAGATTGAACATCGAGTATGCGCCTTTACATTCGTTATATTGTCGTTATTTATTAAGTTCAAGAGAGGATAACTTACATCTGTTGTGCTATAATACATACTATTTACAGTATCCCAATCATGTGTTTATATTTATCAATGGATTTTTTCTTTCGATTGAGATAAAGAATCAGTGCTTTAGTTATCGCATTTTCGATATAATGCAACTTACACGTACCTTAGAACTATCATTAAATGATTAATTCGAGACTGCAGGACAAAAGTTGTTTTCGTCGGAACTTCTTCGTTGTAGTTATTAAACATTAAAATTAGCGATACGATAACGTTCTATAATAATTAGATACAAACAATAATAACATAGTACTGGATTTTAATATATGTATAGTTTACTTCTGTTTATTCATTTTAATATATAAAGGATGAACAGACTATTTTTGTTTCATTTATATTATGTACGTACGTATGAGAGAAGTTGTGTATGTAAAAATGGATGAATGGAAAAGACAACTTTATATTCGTACAGTCTCCATTTCAAATATTGAAAATATCGATCGTGTTTAATATTTCGATTTTTATCGACTTAATACCTTAAATATTATACGAACTATGATATTACTCCTAGTAATTTGACCAAACGCAAATTAACCGTTCATCTAGAACGTTACGTGTTCTTGAATTAGTTGTGAATCTTGTACAGAATTACGACGAAACATCTACTTGGTACGGCATTTTGATCATAGCGTTACTATTTTTCTCTGTTGCAAGTTTTCATCTCTTTCTGTTATTTCTATCGTCTACGATTTATGCGTCGAGCGCATATTTAAATATATCCCCTTGAATTTCAACTTCCTCTATCTTTATCTTACAGTTCATAAGTAATACGCTCGATACTTTTTCGTTGAAGACGGAACGAAAGGTTATACGCGCTTGTAGCGTGTATGTAACACGTGTTTTACACAAATAACAGGATATTACGGTGTGTCCTCAACGTTTATCGACGATCGTCGACGAGAAGAGTACAAATCTGTAGTCATAAAAAATCGTCGAGTACTCTTAACCTAGGTTTTTCTAAGCTCAATTTCGGAAGATGATACGCGACATCGCGTTATGTTTAAATTATACGTTTCTGTTGAAAAATGTAGAAACATTTAATCTATCTAAATATTTTAACGTTACACTTTGTTCGTGGTTTGTAATCGATATCTCGAATCTCTAAATTTTTCGTAAAACGTATGTCGAAAGTGTAATTAAATTTCATGTGCGTGATAGAAGTAAATCTCATATGTGGATCACCCAACATATTCTGGATCATCTTATTAAACCAGATCAGGAATGGAAGTACTATTTGAAATATTCAAGTGTACAGTGAAGTACAATCATAGTTCCAGTCTATGACATTTGTTTCATCATTGTAATTCATATGCACTGTACATATTACACATTAATAATGTTTAGATCACCTCTTACATAAAGTTATTCATAGTTTAATGTTTATACGCATATAGTAATTAAGAACTCTACTTCCGTCCTGTGAGCAAGAGTCTACTTCAAGTACAATAAATTTTCCTCAGATTTTGATGTACACATATTTCAATCATCAAGAAACAATTATATTTAAATAAAAAGGAGCAAGGCATTAGTGTCTTGTGAAATAAATAACTACTACAATTATTTTGCTAAATTTTGTTCATTCAAAGTCAATAACACACTTCATTTTGTAATTGTCTTCTATGTTTGTCATTTGAGAGGTTATAGAAACCTTGACACATGGCATTGAAGATGCAATTGAATAATGAAGAAACTATTCCTGTTTATATGAAAATTAGTATTCTATCTCCAAATATAGATATTTGAAAATATAATCACAAATAGCAAATAGCTGGAAATCAAGAAAAAAAAGAAAAAAAGATGTACACCTTGAGAACCTCTTTCATAAATAGGCAAACGATATAATAATACATACATTTATTCACTTCTTTTATCGATCTGTTTAACCATCTATTTTGTGCAGGAAAATTTATTTTCGATTTAAGTCAATCAACAAAGAAATCGAGCAATTCTTTAAAAACGTTTTCGAATGTTTCTCTATATTTCAAGCTATAGAAAACAAGAGGGCACGATTGAAAGTTTGCGTTAAAGCTTTTTTCAGGATGATTTAACAAAAATAAATACATATCGTTACAATAATAAAACTATATACTGACCCTTAGCGAAACACCCGTAGAATATGCTCGTACAAGAAAAGCAACTTGTACATTCTTATCGAAATTATATGCAAATTACTCGTCGTACATATAAAGAACAAGTATACGCACGATGTAATAAGAATAATAAGAAAAAAATCAATCTACCTTTCCACATAGTAAAGATGTTATAATACAATTCGTCTTCGCGTACATCATAACCTTCGATACGAATATCGAAAACTAAACGCCGGGCCACGTAAAATTCCCACGGTGCAAAACCGAGCATGCGTGTTGGCCATACAATTAGAATGGAACAGTTTGCCTATTCTCACGAAAGTTCTCAGTCAACGTGGATCGAAGAAGTACATCCTAGAGCGGAGAAATCTTCATGACTTCAGCAGACGGCGTATCGTCCAAATCGATCAGACTGGCGTGTGAGCCTGTTGAAGAGGGCGCCACGATCTCGTCAAGGAAGTCGAAGGAGGCCACGGCTTCGCGCTCCTTTTCCCCGTATCGGACGAAGAAATCATCACCACGTCCGATGATCGACGGCCTCGATGAGCCCCAGGTTGACGGCAGTCGCAGGACACGGTGTGCCTGGGCCGCCGATGCTGAGAAACCAAGCGCAGCGGGTCAACATGCCTCAGACCTCACTTGATCTCTTTTCTCTCTCTTCCTATACCGGCTCTAGCAGACACAGAGTAGCTCGGCTTAGCACTCTTACACGTATCACGTTCCCCTCTCTCTTTCTCTCCCTCACTCTCCTTTATAGTACGTATTATTTTTTTTTTCTCTTATCCATATCTTTTTCATTCTTTTCTCAGCCTTACAATTGCCACATGTGAGCGTCAGTTAACCTCTCTCGTAAATCGATGCTTTCGTACCGGAGAGTTTTTGTATTGGCAAGCGTGCAACTTTCCGTTTACAGTATCGTGACAGTCAAATGGCGTACTGACATTTTCTGCAGAGATGTTTATTTCGTGGAATTTATTCCCTTCCGGAAAATTTTTGTAAATCTTGTTACGTAATATACTATTTGTATTCGAAGAGAAGTTCGAGTTTTTTTTCCCCCGTTAACTTATATGTATATAGAAATTGACTTGTGTACGCTGTTCGTCTGTCACTGGTAATGTGATATGGTCGTAACGAATGAAGATGAGATATCTATGGAAATTATTGTATGTTACATATGAAAAGTTAATGTTCCAGTTATGTAAGATTTATGTTATTTCGAACTATTTCTTCCTTTTTTTTTTTTTTTTTTTTATAAGTCAAGTGACGAATAATAGGAAAGTGATTGGGAGAACAGTAAAGAATAACGGAAAAGTCGAACACCTGCCAATAACAGAAGTCAATCAAACCCAATTTTTTTCCAGAATGAGAGAGAAAGTAACTGCTCTATGTAACCCTTGACGCAATTCCAGGCGCATTGCTAATCGGATACGACGACAATATTTAGCGGACAATGGAAACATATTTACACAATAATTTTCAAATACGAAAACGATTGCTAAATATTTTTGGTAAAAAATTTACTATGTGTTCGCGCACAAATTTCACACATATATATACTCACAATGTCGCAATAAACGTTATACTGTAGATGTAAAAAAAAAAAGAAAAATAAAATAATTATCAATCAACACATTACGGACAAAAATTTGTACGATTAACCATAGAAACTTTGTATTATCAAATTTTCTAACATAATAAAATATAAAATACATGAAACGTGAAAAATCTGAAAACTTATCGTTCGTAATATGTCAACTGTTAAATCAGAATTTTATCAAATGTATATATATATATATCGGATTTTTATTCGTTTAAAATTGTAAAAAAGGTGGAATTGCGTAAAGGTGACTCGTAAAACGAATTCGTTCTAACTTCTTCTGGTTAATGATCTGTTAGTAAGCCAATAGAAAAATCCGTTGTAGCCGTACAGTTCACGTTGGATCAGGCCAAAATAGGTCCCGGTGAAACGATTCCTCCCAATTGGCATGTCGGTTACAGAAACTGATCGTCACTAAGCCGAACTACGTAGCTTTTCTTGTGACAATCAAAGCACACCGCGTAGGAGCTACCATCTGAACAGAAAACGTGGAAAAGGCTATGTACAGCGAGGGCTACCAGCGTTCGTGTTCTTGTTCCGTTTGTTTTTATCTTTTGTGACTGTACAGTGACAGGTGTTAATCGACCAAAGCCGCTTAACAGCGTGGCGGCGTTTAGGCGTGTTAGAGTGTCAGAGAACCCACGCTAATATACCCTTTAACACGATTCTACAGAATTGTATACATTTTACTACTTTTCATATTTGCTTCACGATACATTTTTACACGTGTTTTTCTTTCTTCTTTTTAAATGAACGTATATTATCGGTTATATGGAATTGAACGGTGTGTCGAGTATAGTAGCGTGATTTGGTATTGTTGTTAGTAATGTTATATCGAGTGTTATAAGCGGAAGCGATTCTTTCACAATGCATACTCGGAGGAAGAAACGTGTTTGTCTTTTTTTTTCTGTTTTTTTTTTTTTTAAAGAGAGGTAGAAGAGACATCATAGTTGAAGAACATGTGAGCGTCAGTTAACCTCTCTCGTAAATCGATGCTTTCGTACCGGAGAGTTTTTGTATTGGCAAGCGTGCAACTTTCCGTTTACAGTATCGTGACAGTCAAATGGCGTACTGACATTTTCTGCAGAGATGTTTATTTCGTGGAATTTATTCCCTTCCGGAAAATTTTTGTAAATCTTGTTACGTAATATACTATTTGTATTCGAAGAGAAGTTCGAGTTTTTTTTCCCCCGTTAACTTATATGTATATAGAAATTGACTTGTGTACGCTGTTCGTCTGTCACTGGTAATGTGATATGGTCGTAACGAATGAAGATGAGATATCTATGGAAATTATTGTATGTTACATATGAAAAGTTAATGTTCCAGTTATGTAAGATTTATGTTATTTCGAACTATTTCTTCCTTTTTTTTTTTTTTTTTTTTATAAGTCAAGTGACGAATAATAGGAAAGTGATTGGGAGAACAGTAAAGAATAACGGAAAAGTCGAACACCTGCCAATAACAGAAGTCAATCAAACCCAATTTTTTTCCAGAATGAGAGAGAAAGTAACTGCTCTATGTAACCCTTGACGCAATTCCAGGCGCATTGCTAATCGGATACGACGACAATATTTAGCGGACAATGGAAACATATTTACACAATAATTTTCAAATACGAAAACGATTGCTAAATATTTTTGGTAAAAAATTTACTATGTGTTCGCGCACAAATTTCACACATATATATACTCACAATGTCGCAATAAACGTTATACTGTAGATGTAAAAAAAAAAAGAAAAATAAAATAATTATCAATCAACACATTACGGACAAAAATTTGTACGATTAACCATAGAAACTTTGTATTATCAAATTTTCTAACATAATAAAATATAAAATACATGAAACGTGAAAAATCTGAAAACTTATCGTTCGTAATATGTCAACTGTTAAATCAGAATTTTATCAAATGTATATATATATATATCGGATTTTTATTCGTTTAAAATTGTAAAAAAGGTGGAATTGCGTAAAGGTGACTCGTAAAACGAATTCGTTCTAACTTCTTCTGGTTAATGATCTGTTAGTAAGCCAATAGAAAAATCCGTTGTAGCCGTACAGTTCACGTTGGATCAGGCCAAAATAGGTCCCGGTGAAACGATTCCTCCCAATTGGCATGTCGGTTACAGAAACTGATCGTCACTAAGCCGAACTACGTAGCTTTTCTTGTGACAATCAAAGCACACCGCGTAGGAGCTACCATCTGAACAGAAAACGTGGAAAAGGCTATGTACAGCGAGGGCTACCAGCGTTCGTGTTCTTGTTCCGTTTGTTTTTATCTTTTGTGACTGTACAGTGACAGGTGTTAATCGACCAAAGCCGCTTAACAGCGTGGCGGCGTTTAGGCGTGTTAGAGTGTCAGAGAACCCACGCTAATATACCCTTTAACACGATTCTACAGAATTGTATACATTTTACTACTTTTCATATTTGCTTCACGATACATTTTTACACGTGTTTTTCTTTCTTCTTTTTAAATGAACGTATATTATCGGTTATATGGAATTGAACGGTGTGTCGAGTATAGTAGCGTGATTTGGTATTGTTGTTAGTAATGTTATATCGAGTGTTATAAGCGGAAGCGATTCTTTCACAATGCATACTCGGAGGAAGAAACGTGTTTGTCTTTTTTTTTCTGTTTTTTTTTTTTTTAAAGAGAGGTAGAAGAGACATCATAGTTGAAGAAAGTGTTTGATAGAGGTACAGATGATTATTGATATGTATTTGCTTGTCGCAAGCTTTTCAATGTTTAATTTTATATTTGTCCAGTTGTATCTCGTGTTAAAAGCGAAAGATAGAGATTTTAAATAGGAGAAAGTACCTCAGAGTGATGTGCAAGATTGGACAAGAAGATGCTCCACTAAGAGATAGTTAACAAATACCTTTCTTTTGTCGTCGGTATCGGTGTAGTCTGTGCAAGTGACGGTAATCTGGTGGTTCATCCCCCGAGTCACTTCCGGCTGATCCGCTGCTCGATGTCGCCGAAGAACTTTCACTGCTTTCTAGCATCACGTCTAAAAGATTGGCTCTTGCCTGAAATAACGTTTATTATAAAAAAAAAAAGAAACACACAGTAGAAAAAAAGGGCATCGTTCAATTGCTTAGTTGTAACTCTGTCGACGATTTTTATAACATTGAATCATGATCAGTCTTTGTTACATGATCGATAGTTACTTTTGGGTCGGTAAAGTCAATGTCTCGTTCAACGTGAACCCATCCAGTCGGACAGCAGCAAGCGAGATCCAATTTTTCGAGCGGCACTTGAGTTTCCTGGGTAACGCTGTTCTCTTCCCCCTTTCTGATCATACGATTCAGTTCGTCTATCACGTCCTTCGATGTGGCACGTTCGTGAAAGCTCAGCGATCGGTCCCTGCCCTCGACTAGTAGCGGTGCTCTTGCCGGGCTCACCTGATAAGAAAGTGTAACGTTGATGATACTCTTCGAAAAGCGCAAGATCTAATACACTGAGAAATTTCGTTGATAGAAATACCGAAGTGTTGATCAATCAAGAAGGCGATTACGTTTTTTCATCGTATAAAATTCGGTGAGAAATAAAAGAGAAAATTTCGATAGAAAATTCTCTCTTAATATTAGGGAAGAAAATTTTATTTCATGTGTATTCTGTAATTTTCTCCTCTACATTGCCACTTTTTATACAGAAACAAACTCACAACCGTGCTAGGCGTGGAGGAAGTAGCAGCTTCTTCGTCTTCCTCGGGAACAGCGCCTAATTCCGACGGTGTAACAGTGGTATAAGAGACACCACCGTTGCAAGCCACTGCGCTAATTATTCTTCCCTCTGGTACCAGAGACGGCACTGGTATCTGATCCAGCAAATCGTCGTTACTGCTCGTTTCAGTAATGTTCTCTATGTTGCTGTTATCTTGATCGACGGATGTTTCTACTTCGGTGCACATTGCCTCGATTCCACACTCATCCCTGCTGCTCTCGGTTTCCTCTAGAACTGTTTACCAACAAGCTTAACTTTAACGTACAAAGAACTTTGTATTACTCTTTGTCGCGAGTACTAGATCTGTCGGAAAGTTTTGTCATTTTTTCTGCTCTTTATTTACATATGTTACAATGTGTTTAAATTTTCTTCTTTAATTTGTGCTACATATTTTTCTAGCAATTTATCAATTATCCCTTTTGCATAAAAATCTTTCGTTTTTTCGTCGAAATAATTTTCAAACTGTTATTTTCTTCGTCGGTCTTCCCGAAAAAAAAAAACCACGGAACTTTCCAACATACCTAATATATTTTGCCGTAAGCGAGAACGGATGAAGAGTTTCAGAATGATCGACCATTAAAAAGGAAGGAAACGAACCTTCCGTTGTAAGAGTCGCGCCGTTGTGTTCTAGCAGATTAGTCGGCAATTCAGCCAGATACATTTGCTGTTCAGCAATGAAAGATAATACGCTCTGCAGAGCTTGTTCTCTGTCCGGAGGAGGTCTTCCGCTTCTCGACGATGTGCTGGCCAAGCTCTTTGTACTCTCGAACTTCACCAGTCTGTAGAAGTCTCTGGTGAAGTCGGTGCCGATAGACGGAGAGTCTGGATCGTCGCTGCAGCCTGACAACGCTGCTGAGGATCGTTTGCTGGAATTTTCGAAAGCTCCCTCCTCGCTGCTCCAGGAAGCCCCAGGACTTGTGGCGTACGGCCACGATCCGGTCGCTGTGGCGTCCATGAGAAGTGCAACCTTGCGTAACGAAAGGAAGATTCGTGAATAAAAATGTTACCTATAACATTCACTACAATATTCATTTCTGTATCTCGAAGAAACTACGTATTCTCTTGTATTATTGTAAAGATTTAATTTTTTTAATAGTTACATTTATATAGGTATTACGTAAAATTATATATAGGTATTATATTAAGTAATACTTTATTATGTATGCAGAGTACAGAATAAATATGTTTATTTACGTTTTATTGGTGATTTACTGAAATTCTTGAACCAAAAAGAAAACTATCATTGGAAATATCAATTGTATTTCTAATTAATACAGAGAGGGGAAAAAAAGGGCATCCGCGGGATAGTGAAACGGTAGACATATATATACCGAGGTTTAATTCGAGGTCAGATAAAATTGAATTTAATTTCGAAAGATAAAGAAAAGGACGAGTCTGGTTTATTCTGTTGCAAAGTCCGTACCAATTCGCCTCCTGTTCTATCAGCAAGGTAACTGGCACCATTCCACAGGCATTCGTTCGCGTCCTCTTCCAATTCCAGAGGATTATGTTCC